GGTGAGTGGTCCTGGGTATGTGTTCAACAGCTTTCCTTACCAGTTACCTCAGAGATTGGCTGTTGCTTCTTAATCTTGTCTACCCTCTCTCACCACCACACTTCCTCTTTGGTGGGTGAATGCCCACTGGATACTGGAAACACTGGGCTTTGAAAAACTAAGTCTGAGAGCTAATCCTACCCATGTCTACTCACTGACCCCTAACCTCAGTTAAGCTCTAGGCCACTCAGGCAGTGAGGTGGCAAAGAAACAATTTGGGACTTCTACTGAATTCTAGTCTGAGATTCACTTCTTCTCCCTGGCCTTCATGTCTTGACAGTTCTCTTTTGCTCTGTGTGTCTGTGTTACTATCACACACATTCACACACAGTTGCTGGCATGTACAGATGTTCACTCAGTGACCATGGTTATCAAGCCTGTGTGGGCACCAGGCAGTCCAGGAGCACTAGGACGGTGGCCTTGGAGTCATGGCTTGCACGTTACTGCTGGTGTGACCTTGGGTACTGGATTTGAGTCCTTCCTCACACCTTAGTTTCTCATCTGTTAACAGGGCATAATCATAGTATTGCCATCACAGGCCTGATGTGAAGAATAATAAATGTGAAGCGTGCAGACTATGACTACAAAAGATAAGTTCTCCATAAATGTGAATGGTTGTTATGCTACTGTTCATGCTATTATTGACAATTTTATAACCATTTTTAAAAACCTACCAGAAACCTGGGTCAGAGCCCAGCTGTCCTGGAGGGAGGAAAGGGCCCCAGCCTTGGGCATGTGGGTAGAAGTGAAATCGGCAGCCCAGAGTCTTTGGCCTGTGGGTTGGCAGGACTGTGCAAGAGCTGGGGGAAAAGAGAGAGCAAGGGGGCCGGGGAAGAGAGAAAGTGAGAAGAAATATAGAGAACCAGCTTCCAGGGAACAGAAACCCTGCAAACCGGTCTGGGCAGTCCTTGAGCCAGGCAGGTCAGCTGGTGAGCATGGGCTCCCAGAGGGAGCAGCCCCTAGCTGTGAGAGGGAACCAGCTGTCCCTTGAGTGATGCCCAAGGCCTCCCCACCCTGCCTGGGAGGTGCTGCCAGGGGCCTGTAGACCTGGCCTATGATCGGAGTCAGATTACCCAAGAAGCAAGGAAAGCACAAGCTTCCTCTTGCTTGCTTATTAATCTGTAATGAACAACTTCACATTTATTTATCGCACCAGAGATTCTGCTTTTAGGTGTAGCTGGCATCTCTTTCTTTCCCAACTCCACAGCACCTTGCTACAGAATTAAACTTCTTCAAATTGATAAGCCATGGCAGGAACAGAAAACCCAGTAAGCAAGGCAATCAGAGGTTTACTTGTGTTTATTTACTAATCTGTTAGTAGTCTACTGTTTTACTTGGGCTTCATGTGGTGATTAGTAAGTGCAAGTAAGTCCATGCCTACCTTGCTTAAAGGGTACTCCACGCCTGTCCATGACAGCCCCTTCTGGCTCTAGGTGACAGACACGGAGGGTCTGCTTTAGGAAGAACTGACCACAAACTCTATGAAAAGCCATACCACTTAAAGTCCACCAGAGCTGGATTCTAAACTGATTCCACCATTTCCAGTGTGCTCTTGGACAAGTTTATCAGGTGCTCTGTACCTCAGTTGTTTTATCATTTACTTGGGAGTAAACAAAGGAGAGAGTAAATGATATATATTCAGGAAGTGCCTGGGCACGCAATAGATGCTCAGATGTGTATATCCTTTGTTGCGTCTTATTTCCCCAAAATGAAAAATAGCTTTATCTTTACCCTGCTTAATGCATGCCGGTATTTTGTGATGTTTTATTTCTGAAATAGAGGATAAGCAGTCTCCAGTTTATGGCTGAGATCCAATCCTAAGTGTGTCTTTAAGTCAAATTTGTAGGTAAGTTGGAACAGGAGCTTTGTGCATTGTTAGATGCTGTTGAGTCAGTTACAACTCACAGTGGTCCTACACATAATAGAATGAAACACTGCTCAGTCCCGCACCAGCCTTACAGTGGTTGTTATGTTTGAGCCCATTGTATTTTTGTTTTGTTTTTTAAACTTTTTATTGTGAGTTGAGTAAAGGCTTACAGAACAGATCAGTCCCACTCAACAAATCATACACATTGTGTCATTACAATGACTGCAATCCCTTCCTTGTACCATCGGGTAACAAACAGTATTTACCTCTATTCACTTTAACACTTGCCCTCCTCCCTGTGTCTTCCACCACTTTCATCTTTCCTGTGCCAGCCTCCCTCTTGAGCCCATTGTTTTTGCCACGGTGTCAATCCATCTCATTGGGGTCTTCCTTTTTCTTGCTAACCCTTAACTTTACTAAGCATGATATGTTCTTCTCCAGGGACTGGTGCTACCTGATAGCATGTCCAAGTTTAAGAGACAAAATCTTGCCATCTTGACTTCTGAGGAGCATTCTGACAGGTCTTCTGGTAACACATAGTACTTTCAAAAGTCTTCTCTAACACCATAACTCATGGATCCTTTTAGGGTCTCCCCTATTAATTGTTCAATTTTCACATGCATATAAGGCTATTGAAAATACTATGGCTTGGGTCAGTCCCACCTTAGTCCTCAAACTAATATCTTTGCTCTTTAATACTTCAAAGGGGTCTTTTGCCCCAGATTTGCCTAATGCAATACATCATTTGATTTCTTGACTGATGCTTTCATGAGTGTTGATTGTGAATCCAAACAAAATGAAGTCGTTGACAGTTTCAATCTTTGCTCCATTTATCATGGTGTTATTTATTGGTTCAGTTTTTTGTTTTCTTTATATTGAGGTACACTCCATACTGAAGGTTGCAGTCTTTAATCTTCACCAGTAAGTTTTTCAAGTCCTCTTCACTTCTGGTAAGCAAGGTTGTGTCACCTGCATATTGCAGGTTGTCAATGAGTCTTCATCCAAACCTTATGCCATGTTCTTCTTCATATAATCCAGCTTCTCCAATTGTTTGCTCAGCATATGGATTGAATAAATATGGTGAAAGGATGCAACCTAGAACACGCTTTTCCTGGTTTTAAATGATTCAGTAGCCCATGCTCTGTTCTAACAATTGCCTCTTAGTCTATGTACAGGTTCCTCATAAGCACACATTCTTCACAATTTTTTCCATAATTCATCATGATCCACAGTCAAAAACCTTTGCATAGTCAATAAAGCACAACTACACATATTTCTGACTTTCTATGCTTTCAGCCAAGATCCATCAGATGGTACCAGTGATACCCCTTTTCCAGGTCCTGTTCTGAATCCAGCTTGAATTTCTGACAGTTTCCTATTGTTGTACTGTTGAAACTTTTAATTATTCTCAGCAAAGTTTTACTTGCATGTGATAGTAATGATTTTGTTCTATGATTTCCACATTCCACTGGGTCACCTCTCTTTGGAATGGGCACATATATGAATCTCTTCCAATCTGTTGGCCAAGTACCTGTCTTTCAAATTTCTTGGCATAGATGAGTGAGAGCCTGCTGTGTTGCATCAGTTTGTTGAAAGATTTCAATTTGTATTCCATTAGTTCCTGGAGCCTTGTTTTTTGCCAGTGCCTTCCTCAGTGCTATTTGGACTTATTCCATCAATTCCATAAGTTCTTGATCAGCTGCTACTTTTGAAATGGTTGAACTTTGAACTTTGTTTGTTGTTGTTATGGTGACGCTGTGTATTCCTTCTATCTTCATTTGATGCTTTCTGTGTTAGTCAGTATTTTGTGTACGTTGTTGTTGTTAAGTGCCATTGAGTTGGTTCCAACTCATAGTGACCCTGCATCTTGTGTAGGGTTTCTGAGGATAAGCTGGTGGGTTTGAACCAGCAACCTTGTGGTTAGCAGTTCAGTACTTTATCCTACAGCACCACACCAGGAGCCCTTCAATATTGCAGCAGTTTTTGTTCAGTGCTTTTGGCGTTAGAAATACTGAGCGTGTTTTTCCCTTTTGGTTTTCTAACACCAGGTCTTTGCACATTTCATTATAATACTTTATCTTCTCATGATGTCCTTTGAAATTTTCTGTTCAGCTCTTTTACTTCTTCATTTCTTCCATTTGCTTTAGCTTTTCTGTGCTCAAGAACAAGTTTCAGAGTCTCTTCTGACATATATTTTGGTCTGCTCTGTCTTTCCTGTTGTTTTAATGATCTTTTGTTTTCTTCTGTATGATGTTCTTGATGTCCCACAACTCTTCTGGTTTTCAGTCATTAGCATCTAATGCATCAAATCACTTCTTAAGACAGTTTATCGATTCAGTTGGAGTATCTTCAAGGTCATATTTTGGCTCTTGTGGACTTGCTTTCATTTTCTCTCGGTTTAGCCTGAGCTTGCATATGAGTAATTGATGGTCTGTTCTGCAGTCTGGTCCTGGTCTTGTTTTGACTGATGGTATGGAGCTTCTCCACTGTCTCTTTCCACTGATGCAGTCCTTTGATTCCTGTGTGGTACATGTGTATGGTCACCTTTTATATTGTTAGAAACAGGCAGTAAATAAGTCGTTGGTCTTATAAAATTCTGTCATACAATCTCCAGCATAATTTTTTTTATCACCATAGCCATATTAGAACCTTCCTCTTTGTTTCCAACTTCTTTAATTCTATCACCAGTTATTGTCAATGCATCTTTTTTTTTTTTTAGAATAAACACCTTTAATACATGTGCTGGATGTGAGGGAGGAGTCTTTATTTGCCTTTCCAGACCTTGATTTTCCTCAGCTAGAACTCCAGCTCCTTGCCCTCTAGAACACAGCCATCTGCTCGGCCACACTGGCCTGGTCTTGAAGCGATACATGCAAGAAGCCTGCCCTGCTGGAGCTGCGCCTCCAGAAGACTGCGGATTTTTTTTTTTTTTCCTTAAATGTTTTATTGTGAATTATGTGATAGTTTACATGGGAGAACATTCGTTTTATATTCATTCTATTGTATATCGTCTCATTGCCATGGTTACAAAGACTGCTGATTTTTGCTTTCTTTTTCCTTTCATCGTATTTTTTTCTGAATTGTCTTTGATCACTTTTTGTTTAATATCTCTTCCTCTTCAGGAGTCAGTTTGGCTCCCTTCTTGCTGCCCAGATGCAGTGCATAGTGGGACTCGTACCACTGCCGGTACGGTGTGCTGTCGATGAGCACAATGCAGTTCTTCACTAGCGTCTTGGTGTGGACGCATTGTAGGCAACATCAATGATCCTTGTTTTCCGGGTACAACACTCAGAGCCCTAAGAGAAGTTCCCCACATCCAGCCTCAGGGCCCGGTACTTCTCGTTGCCTCCTCTAACACGTACTGTGTGTATGGAGCAGGGGCCGATCTTAGTGTTGGCAGCCGGATGTCCCAGCTCATACTTCCGCTTCTTGTGGTAGGGCTTTCTCTTGCCCCCAGTCTTGCAGAGCTTGTGCCAGTTGTCCCGAGAGATACCCATTGCTCGGAGCTGGCTGGAAAGAGCTATCAATGTATCTTGATTGCATGTTTGATCAGTTTCAGATTGAAGAACTTGGTAGAACTTTTCAATTTCATCATCACTGACTTTAGTGGTTGGTGTGTAAATTTTAATAATAGTCTTCCTTGTTGGTTTAAAGTACTGTTGAGTTAGTTCTGACTCATGGTGACCCTGTATAGGGTTTCTAAAGAGCAGGTAGTGAGTTTGAATTGGTGATCTTATGTTTCATAGTCCATTTCTGGCCCTATAGTGCCACAGCAGGAGGAATCCTGTTCTTCCTTATAGGTGTATGGACATGATCCTATCACAGGCAGCATTTGTCCTTCAAGATAGTTCTTGCAATGTTCTTATTGATCATAAATTTGACACCATTTCAAAACAGGCAATAGTAGTCCATTCTAGTTCACATCTTGTTGTTGTTAAGTGCCATCGAGTTGGTTCTGACTCATAACAACCCAGTATAGGGTTTCCAATGAGCAGCTGGTGAGTTTGAACTGCCAATCTTGTGGTTCAAATGCACCTTACAGTCCTGTGCTTATCTTACATCACCATGATAACAAGGATATTGATCTTTATGTATTCCATTTCATTTTGACAATGTCCAATTTTCTTAGATTCATACTTTGTATATTCCGTGTTCTGATTATTAATGGATATTTGCAGCAGCTGCTTTTCCTCATTTGAATACATGTAGGTCCTGAAAGATTGCTCGATTCACCTTGTTATGGTGAACTCTACTTTGAGGAGGCAACTCTTCCCCAGTTGTATTTTGAGTGTCTTCAGCCTGAGAGGCTCACTTTCCAGCACTATATCTGACAATATTCTACTGCTGTTCATAATGTTTTCATCTTCCTGCACAATGTCTGACAATGTTCTGCTGCTCTGCATAAAGTTTTCAGTGATTAAACATTCAGAAATAGTCTTCCTTTCCTTCTTTTTAGTCTGTCTTAGTCTGGAAGCTCCATTGAAACCTATCTGCCATAGGTGACCCTGCTGGTATATAAAATACCGGTGGCATAGCTTCTAGCATCACAGTAGTACACAAGCCACCACAGTGACAACATAACCTTGATCCAGTGTCAGGGAGTTTCTCAGGGGTGGGGACTGCAACACTTTGTTTCTTACAAAAGATAAAAGGAGAAAGAAGTGAGCAGAGGAGGGACCGACTATCATCAAGAAAAAAGAACCCAGAATGGAGTGCATTCTTGGACTTGGGCTTCCTGCACTGTGAAGCAACTGCATCCAGGGGAAGACTGATGCCAAGACACATGAAGATCTCCAAGGAATGCTGGGCCTACAGATGCCAAAAGGAAACAATGGCCTTTCCGCAGAACCAGTGCTCTGAATTCTGACTTTTAGCCTTTGGAACGGAGAGAATAAATTTCTGTTTGTTAAAGCTATCCATTTGTGATATTTCTGTTATAGCAGCACTAGAGAACAAAGACCATCCGTCTCCAATAAGAGTTTCCATCCTGAGTAATTTTACATGTCTCCTTCCCTCTTATCCCTCCCTCTCTGTCATTTCCAGTATCAGCTTCTGCTTCTAGTTTAGAGTCCAGGGAGGGAAGCCTGATTGGTCTAGAATATCCTATTGTGGCAGGGGATAGGTCACTGACCAGCCTTTATGCTGGGCTCCCCTGGGGTTAACATCCACTCTTGATCGAACCAACTCTAGGCAGTTGGCCAAGGTAGTACAGAATAGAGTTCCTGGGGCCTCTGTCTTCTCAGCAGGGCCTCTCCATGGGACTGTAGGCCTTGATTGCAAAGGTAACCATGAAAATGTCCTGTGGATCTTTCTGGGGAAAAGAAGAGTGTGTGATCCCTCTGAAAAGAAAATCAGGCTGAATCTTTACATTGAGTCACAGAAGAAAATCTTATGAGCAAACCTGTCTTTCTGGGCCAAGTACTCTAACAGAGAGCAATAAATATTCAGCAGCATTTCATAAACAACCACTGAGACAATTAGCAAATATAACATTCAGTAGCATAGACTTTGGCCTCCTACAAATTTCAAAAATTCAAGTCAGGGGTTTCCCAAATTATTTTAGCAAATTAGCAGTTTGGAATATCACGCTCAGCTTCAGAAATCCTTGCCAACCTCATCCTGCTCAGAGAAAGTGGAGAGTGTGCTATTTCTTCTTGCTGAAGTTAGGCCAGTATAGCAGAGTTAATTGAGGAGAGGCTCAGCAATGGAGCTGCCATTGCTGAATATGAGCATTGAATATCCAGGGAATCAAGAGAAAAGAGGAAACTGAGAAGAGCTGAAGCCGACCTCACTCCCTCAGCATCTCAAGGCCAACACACTTGCTGTGCTTGCTTCTGAAATGTGACTAATGAAATTAAAATTAATTAAGCAGAAATAAAATATAGAATTCAAATCCTTCGCACTGTTGTTGTTAAGTGTCGTTGAATCAGTTCTGACTCATAGCGGCCCTGTATAGGGTTTCCAAGGAGCAGCTGGTAAGCTTGAACCACCAGCCATGGGGTTCAAACTGACACATTTCAAGTGCTCAGTAGTCATAAGTGTCTAGAGGACAGTGCAAAGATCTAACATTTGCATCATAGCAGACAGTTCTGCTGAAGTGTAAGCCAAATCTCAGAAGGGCTAATTCGTAGGATTCCCAGGGTCTTTTCATTTATCCCCACTACTCTATTCTTCCTGTGTTGATCACTTTGTGCCCACATTGTGGATACAGATGTTATAAAGCCAATATATAAATCTCTTGATAGTTTGTGCTAGGAGACCGAAAGAGATCAGAGCATGAAAAGTCCTTGGAGGAGGTACACTGATCTGTTAGAACACTACTCGGGTTTCCTGGATAGAGACCTCTATCTCTACAGGGCCTGAAGTTAATTATTCCCCCTTTCTTGTCTTTTCTAGTAATGCAGTCATAGTCTTCATTTCAGTGTGCCAGGATTGAGTTCCATGCACAGCCATAATAAGGAAGAGTGAGCTCAAATGGAAGACTATAGACGCAATTCAATAGAATGCCAACAGACTGTAATCAATATTACTAATGTCAGTGGGTCCTGGTGTGGCACTGTAGGATAAGCACTAGGCTGCTAACTACAAGGTCAGTGATTCAAACCTACCAGCTAACCCTGAGAAGCCCTCTGCAGGATCTCTATGCAGGAGTTGGACCACTGCTTCTCTGATGGCTTGTCCTACTGTGGTGGCTTGTGCATTGCTGGATGCTGGAAGCTATGCCATCGGTGTTTTAAATACTAGCACGGTCGCCCATGGTAGACAGGTTTCAGTGGAGCTGCCTGACTAAGACAGACTAGGAAGAAGGAGAAGTGGACCATTTCTGAATGGTTAGCCAATAAAAACCTTATGAATAACAGTAGAGCACTGTCAGATACAGTGCCAGAGGATGAGCCCTTCAGCTTGGAAGGCACTCAAAATAAGACGAGGGGCCCTCTTTCACTTCAGCAAGGTGGCCAAGTGGCAGATGTAGAGATGCAGATCTTTGTAAAGACTGTCACTCTCAAAACTGAGTCCAGTGACACCATGGAGAATGCCAAAGCCAAAATCTAAGACAAGGAGGGCACTCCACCCCCCACCCCCACCCCTCACCCCCACCCTCGACCAGCAATGTCTGAGTTTTGTGGGTAAATAGCTGGAGCATGGCCACACTCTCTCAGACTGCAACATCCAGAAAGAGTTCACTCTGTACCTGGTGCTGTGTCTGTGAGGTGGCATTGCAGAGCCTTCCTGGTGCCAGGTTGCCCAGAAACAATGGTGACAAGATGATCTGCTGCAAGTGCTACACTCCCCTTAACCCCTGTGCTGCCAACAGTCACAAGAAGTGCAGCCACACCAACAACCTGCACTTTAAGAAGGTCACATAAGGCACCTCTTTTCTCATTCCCCGGGCTCCCATTGGTGGAGTTCTCCCAAGCTCCATGGCCCTCAATAAAATCTCACTTTTATTGAACCAAAAGCAAAAAAACAAAAAACAAATAAACAAAAAACCCAATTAGGAAGAGCTGCCTTCCCAAGGTTGAGTCGACCTTAATGATGTGATTAGAACAAAGCTTTTGGTACCTTCATTTGCTGATGGGGCACAACTCAAAATGTGAAGAAACAGCTGCAAACATCCATTAATAATCGGAACATGGAATGTATGATGCATGTTGTTGTATGAAGCATAAATCTAGGAAAATTGGATGTTGTCAAAAATGAAATAGACTGAACAAAGTCTGATATGTAAGGCATTAGTGAGCTGGAATGGACAGGTATTGGCCATTCTGAATCCAACTATCATGGTTTACTATACTGGGAATGACAGATTGAAGAGGAATGATGTCACATTCATCATCAAAAAGAGCATATCAAGATATGTCTTGAAGTATAACACTGTCTGTGATAGGATAATAATATCCATACACCTACAAGGAAAACCAGTTAATATCACTATTATTCAAATTTATGCACCAACCACTAGCACTAACGTTGTTGTTGTTGTTGTTATGTGCCGTGGAGTCAGTTCCAACTCATAGCGACCCTGTACAGGGTTTCTGAGGCTGTTAATCTTTACGGGAGCAGAACGCCTCATCTTTCTCCCACGGAACAGCTGGTAGTTTTGAACTGCTGACCTTGTGGTTCGCAGCCCGATCCGTAACCACTATGCTACCAGAGTTCCCTAGCAATGATGAAATTGAAGAATTCTTCCAAGTTCTTCAATCTGAACTAGATCAAGCATGCAATCAAGATACATTGATAATTACTTATGTTTGGAATGCAAACGTTGGAAACAAAGAATAAGGATCAGTAGTTGGAAAATGCAGCTTTGGTGATAGAAATGATGCTAGAGATCACATTATAGATTTTTACAAGACCGATGATTTATTCACTGCAAATACCATTTTCAGTAACATAAAATACAATCATACATGTGAACCAGATGGAATACAGGTATCAAATTGATGATTTCTATGGGAAGAAATGATGGAGAAGCTCCATATCATCAGCTCAAACA